AGACAGACAGAGAGACAGACAGACAGAGAAAATATGTTGATTCTCAAGAAACAGATTTCAGCGACACACACAGATCTGTGATTGGTCAGCCCGTGTTTTCTCCTGATGGAGATCCTCTGCATCTCAAAGTAAATTAACTAAAGTAACAAAGTACACACGTGTGTGTGTGTAGTGTCTTCTACTCACTCTGTGGGCCATATAAACTGGCTCCAAGCTGCGACAGTTGACCCGTCGAGGAAGCAGAGGAAGACGTCAGCATCTGAGGAGACAGGAAGCACAAACACGACATCATCGCTTGTTTAGCGTGAAAAAAAAAATAAAAAAAATCAGCCATGCACCTTTATTTAAATCCTGTGCATCACTTAATCATATTACTGAGTACAGTTTGCAACAATAACCTTTCTTTGTTTATGTAATCCCAGAAGAGATAACAAAACGTGAAACATTAAACCCCAGAAGAAGAGTTGAGCACTCACATCTTTGTCAGGGCGGTGTGGAGGGAACATGGACTGTTGGGTGTAGTAGAGGCTGGAGTCGTCCGCGTAGTCGCTCTCTACACCTCCCTCCATAAACTTCTTCCGGTTAGCACCAAACATACCGCGTGTCACCTGACAAACAAGACAGGAAACGGTCACACTGAGTAATCGGCTACTTCCTGTCACACCTGCAGCGGTTCATAACAACGTCATGAGATACATTTAAGATGTATCAGCATCAGCAGCTGAACTCTGCATGCAAGTAATCCAACATACACTCACACATTGTGTAAACCTGAAACATGCAACACTCACTGCTCATGTCATCTCACACAAGCGAAACTTTGCGATCCTCTAAAAACAATCTTATTGTTTACATTACAGTCATTTAGCAGACGCTTTTATCCAAAGCGACTTACAATTCAGAGTCTATCACATTTCTACACCGTAGGCACAGCTACGGGAGACATTTTGGGGTTAAGTGTCTTGCTCAAGGACACATCGACATGCGACGAGCGGAGCCGGGGATCGAACCGCCGACCCTCTGATTGAAGGACGGCCCTGCTATCCACTTAGCCACAGTCACCCCATACAGATGTGTTTTGTTGCTTTAGTTCCATGTTGGGTATCGTTTCTTTGATGCACGTGTATTAATAATGAGGTGTGCATAAGCCTCCATCAGCTGTGGTTACTACAACCTTTTTAGCACTTTTAAAGAAATAAAAATAGTGTAATTATGTTGTAAATATACTTAATATGTTTGGGATAACAGACCACAGGTTAACCTGCAACACGTGACTCGTCTGAACAAATAAACAATCTTTGTCTTCAATGATAATAAAACATTTTGGTTCGTTGTGATAAACAAAACAAGGACTGAGTGTCAAACTGTTGGGCTCTATTGTGATGAACTCTTTTCTGTAGATTTGAACAATAAAAAGTAAATAATAAATAAAACCACCAGAGAAGAAGTTATTGTTAACGACCCGCTGCTTTGATTATGCATGTGTTCATAAATTATCTTTACAATAACATAATTAACATTATATGTGAAAGAAGAGTTAGTTTGCACATTATAAACATAAAATCACACCATGTTCAAACCCTGGATACTGCACATGAGGTGATGTGCAGATATAAATACACATTTACTTTTGTTTACTACAGTAGATTAGTGATAGCTTTAGCCCACGGTGTAGCATCGACACCCGGTGAAACAACGACCAATTCAGCTCCTACACGCTTGTACCATTATATTTAAAATGTGTGTATTAGTGGAACCAGTGTGGTTCGGGTTAGAAGTTCCCTTAAACATTGTGCAACCGACAGAGTAAAGTATAAGCTTCACTGTTCTTGTTTGAAAGCAAACGTTAAATGTGCAGAAGTGTCGCAAAAAGCTAATGCTAAACATGAAGCTAACGCTAGCTCCGATAATCTCTTTGACTAATTCCACCAATTAATTCACAAAACCTACTCGTTTGCGTCACGTCACAAATAACCCAGTTTATTTGATAGATGTACATGATACGTATATGTATATTGATGTTTGTACGTGATAGCTATAAGCTAGCATTACCTTGTTAGCTGTAAAAATGTGTCAGGAGCTACGTGCTAGCAGAGTAGTAGCACGTAAGCTACACAGCTAACTCTATAGGAATACATGGGAGACGCTAGCGTGAGAGCTAACGCTTGCTACCAAGCTAGCTGGTCGGCTAACCCAGCACCGCAAGAACAACCGCTACTGGAGACAGTTTTAGGCCGTTTTAACACTATCTGATGAACCGAGAACGGGGGTTTAGATGCGGTTAAGCAGACGAGCCGCCGGTAAAGAGGAGACCGGTACGAAGGTTTGATTTGTTCGGGTTTTGGGCCTAAGAAGCCTCCGTCGATTAGTTCCCCCCAAACAACAACAAAAAGCAGCGGAAGCAGACCGCCGGGTTTAAGATCGTGTTCTCCGCTTCACCTACGCGGTCTGACTCCGTGATGACTCCCACACGAGTGGAGTTTTATTCAGAGAAGGTTCATGCGGTTGTTTGAGGAGAAAATAAATAAAAGGAATAAAACAAGGAGCTTACCGCATCAATCTTTCTTCCCCGCTACAATCCAAGATGGCCGTCATCTCTTCGCCAATCAGCAAGGATGCTGGGATGTGTGTCGCCTCTGACCTCTGAGGCTCCATCACTCTACTCTACTCTACTCTACTCTACTCTACTGTCTAGCCTCTGAGGCTCCATCACTCTACTCTACTCTACTCTACTCTACTCTACTCTCTAGCCTCTGAGGCTCCATCACTCTACTCTACTCTACTGTCTAGCCTCTGAGGCTCCATCACTCTACTCTACTCTACTCTACTCTACTGTCTAGCCTCTGAGGCTCCATCACTCTACTCTACTCTACTGTCTAGCCTCTGAGGCTCCATCACTCTACTCTACTCTACTCTACTCTCTAGCCTCTGAGGCTCCATCACTACTTTATTTTTTTCTTCTTACAGGTTATATGTGTCTGACAAATGTGTCACCGTGGCTCCTCATTTAAGCAGTTTGCCCACAATTTCAGGTTAAACTAACGAGAATATTACAGACCCACACTTTGTATGATTTTATTTTTCCAGATGATGGTTCATACAGAAATAAATTAGTCAACGCATCCATCTACAAGTTCCATTATTTGATAACAGTGATATCAAAGACTTGAACCTGATCTATATCTTGAACATCTGCACCAGAATGTATGAAGCAGCGTTCACTTCTTTTGAACTAATGTATGATGCTGTTAAAGATACAATGTTACAAATACCTTCTGTTTGTAACAGAAGTCAGCTCTCTATTGAGTAAGTGTGTGTCTACTTTACTCTACTGTCTAGCCTCTGAGGCTCCATCACTCTACTCTTATCTCCTCTGTACTATACTCTACTGTACTCTACTCTAGCGCCCGACTTCTGAACCTCCATCATTTCACTCTATTCTACTCTAAGCTGTATTGTGCTCTACTTTATACTCTACTGTCTGACCTCTAAGGCCTCCATTACTGTACTCTATTGTACTCTACATTGTATTGTATCACTTTACTCTACTCTTCTCTACTTCTAATATCTGAAACTTTACTCATGTGTTTGCCATTGGCACACAAGAAATATACAATACAATACAATAAAATACAATACAATACAATACAATACAATACAATACAATAAAATAAAATGAAATAAATTTCAATTTCAAATACACAAACCATGTGAACATCTTATAAAATATGACGCATCATCATATTTTAGGAGATGAAGTAAAATTAGATTCTGTTGTAATTTGGGCCAAATTAAATCAGAGATGAACTAAGAACTCCCTGTAAAACAACAGTTTTATAACTTATTGTTGTAATTCATTTAGATAATTTTCATTATTAAATGGTATTTTTCAGTTGATCATTTAAAAAAATGCCCTCACATTTAATTACTTTGATTAAATGTTACAAACATATTAAATCTTAAATAAAGTGAAGATTATTAATATGTTTATTTCTTACAGCTGTGTGGAAAGTGATTAAAAGTAGTTTACTCTATTTAATGTGAAAACAGGTTTCTAATAAAAGGCCTGAAAGTTAAATTGTCCATGTCTCAGGATTTAAGAAAAATATAACAATTCAAAGAATCTAAAGCGAACTAGATAACCTAACAACGCTTTACCACATGAAGTTAATATATATATATAGAAATGTGAGAAACAGAGAATAAAGATTACTTTCACAAAGGTGATTGTTTATTGTCTTTATGGATGCTAAACAACGAGAAGAAAAGAAAATCAACTGTTTGGTGTCAGACTTTATAAATAAAGTAAATATCCAGAGTCGTGAAACATGTCATATATTTTTGGGGTTATAATAACCCTGAGAGATGAGTTGGTTGAATCTTGAATCTTTTTAGAAACCTGAATCCTCATGAAGTTGTTGTTGAAGACTCATCATCACTTTATTTATTTATCACCTTTTATACAAACACGCCGCTTCAAAAATTACGGTAAATATAAGCAAGAAATAGAAGTCATAAGAATACAAAAATAAATAAACATCAACAAAAAATGATGTAAAAAAAAAATTATTTAAAAGTCTTTGGCTATAATATTACGACAAATTAAAAGCCAGATAGAAAATAAAAAAATTAAGATTTTTATTTTCCTTTTAAGACTATTATTAATTAATAATTTGAAATAACTAAAGAAACCAGGAAAAATAATTTACTGTAACATTTTCAGCTTGCTGTGACGTCTTATTTTATAAACACCATCAACTGCAACCGGAAGCCGTCTGATCTCTACTGTAGCTTACATACCGTTTCTGATTGGACGATCACACTGACGCTCCATCGCACCAATCAACGAGCAGACAGGAGCCGCTACTGTCTATATAGTCACGGATTTTACTCACTTCGGTATTATACGTCAATCACACGAAGAATACCGAATCAACTATGTCTGGAAGAGGAAAAACCGGAGCCGGCAAAGTCAGAGCGAAGGCCAAGACCAGGTCCTCTCGTGCCGGGCTTCAGTT